TATCAGAAGAAGAACGACCACAAGAAATTGTTTTCAATTCTAATAATAGTTGATGACTTCGCTGATTCAAAAAAATTCTCACGCAATAGTCCTCTATTAAACCAGCTGTATGTGTGCGGACAACATAACAGTATCTGCATAATAACTGCCACACAAAAACTCAACGCTTCAAGTCCCATTATTCGTGTAAATAGTAGGCAGTTATTCTTTTTCAGGTTAAGAAACTACAAAGAAATTGAAACAATGGTTGAAGAATTAAGCGCCGTCTTAATTAAAAAATCAGCCGTTGCTGATACCAAAAATCTTGCAGAAGCAAAGAAGCTATAACTAGAAGTCTATAATATAGCAACAGAAGAACCGTATAGTTTTTTATTTGTCAATTTGATGAAGCCGGATGTAAATGATATGTTTTATAAAAGATTTGATGCTAAATAGTTATTGAAGATGAAGACGCTTAAAGAAATAACACAATATAAGATATTATAGGACAATGCCAAGAAAACCCATAGATTACAGTAAAACTCACTTTTATAAAATTGTATGTAAAGATACAGAAATAACAGAGTGTTATGTAGGTCATACAACAGATTTTACAAAGCGAAAGAATAAACATAAATCAGTTTGTAGCAATGAAAAGGACACAAATTTTAATCTGCCAGTATATCAGATTATCAGAATGAATGGTGGATGGAAAAACTGGGATATGGTATTAGTAGAAACAAAACAATGTGAAAATGCACTGGAAGCAAAACGAAATGAAAGATGCTTTATTGAGAATTTAAACTCATCATTAAATCATATACAACCCTTTAGAACTGAGGAAGAGCACAAGGAATACAAACATAACTGGCACTATGAAAACCGAGACAGAATATGCAACAAAAAAAGTCAAGTATCAAGAAAACAGGGAAGACATTATAGCAAAAAACAAACAACATTATCAACACAATATAGATGAACTCCGAAAAATACGAAGTAGAAAATGTAATTGTGAATGTGGCGAGACATACACCTATGCAAACAAGCGAAGGCACGAAAGAAGCAACAAACATCAAGAATACCTAAAAAAAAGAAAAATAAAATTAATAATATTACTAATGAATAATATTATTAACAAAAATAATGAATAACTACACAAGTTTATAGCAGGTAAGCGATACAATATTTTATGTCGTTTCCTTTCTTTTACTTCTCTGATGTTTTTCAAACTTCTTTCAATACCTTAATTTGTAATCTATCAATATTACTCAAATCTAAATCATTTTCATTAATATTGTTTGTTTGATTAATACAGTCGCGACAGCCTCGCGAGGCATCTGCCGATGCGTCATTCTCATTATCTTTTGAAATTCTACTCCCCATATATTAGAAATTGAAAATTTATTTATTCATTTCCAATTAATAATCTTTTAATATTAACGAACATTAATAATCTTTTAATATTAACGAAGTTAATATTAAACATTGATATTTAGATAAATACTATTTATTTAGTTTTTGCTGTTGCTTTGGCTTTTGCTTTCGGCGAGGCTTCACTATCGTTATTATCTTTGTTTGATTTATTTATCTCTTTTTCTAATTAATCTTTTCTATTTAAAGCATTTTGTAAAGCACTCCATAAAATCGGTGTAGTAATTGTGTAGTCAAACTTCAAATAGCCATCAGTTCCTTCTTTTACTAAATTCTGCCATTAATCTGGCATCTTCTTGCTTTCCATAAAATCATTAGCAATAAATCCTACACAATATTTTCCTTGTTGTCTCCCATCAATAAAATGATATGTTTTCGGTTTAATATATTTTACTAATTCTACTGCTTTTTTGCTATTTAGTCCTTGTATATCTTTCTTTAATCTTTTATCTGATGAAGGAACCAATGACCCTGTATATGAAAGGTCGCC